TCTCCCATATGTTTCAGAGTAGAATGAAGGAAAATCTTGTGAAACTATCAACGTAAGAGCATAAGAGGTGAAAGAAGAGATGATGCAGAGGAGTTGCTGACCTGTGGATAGCGTTTTTTGATCTGTTGCGTGGTTTGTATAGCGTTTTTTGATCTGTTGCGTGGTTTGCAAGCTTCCAGGAAGTAATGTTGTGGTCCCTGAATAGGTGGAGGTTTTGTTTTGCTGGAGAAAGCAGGTTGGATGGTTGTCCGACCCGTTAGCGTGTTGATTTTCTCCTCTCTTTTTTATGACTGCCCTGGTAGTACAGCTGTAACGTTGTCATTGGACAAAAAATTTGACTGTTTTCAAAAAGAAAAATAGTCAGATGTCAATTAAACATTCCCTTCTTTTATTTAAATACGTGAACTCGTAAGCTACAAGGAAAGTACAAATGAGTGAATCGATAATACATAGTATGTATATATCCATTTTTCAACCACATTGTTCCCTTTTCTGTGGATACGACAAAATGTACTAATGTTTTTTTACAAGCAAACTAAAAAGGGCAGCCAAAATCACGGGCTAACCTATTAAAATATATACCACTCGTCACAAAGCACGGCCAACTATAGGCTATATGTGTATTCACAAAAAAAAAACTATAGTCTATATGTGCATGCAAATTTTCTTTTGTATTCTTTTTCAGAATTTCAAATTATGTTTTCCCTTTTTGTGCGAATATGCTCTTTCTTGATTTTAAGTGCACTGGTGATGAAGAATGAAGGGGGGATATACATCGTATGGAAAGTATGGACACATAGCAGCCTTCTTGCCAGCTGATTCAGATGGATCTTGTGGGCAGAGCTGCTAGGCGAGAGCAATTGGTGGCTCAACATCCACGCAAATGATCCAGCCCAATAACATTTGTTTGGTTGTTCTTCAGCTCTTTCCTCGCTGTAAGTTTATTTTTCTTTTGATTTTTCTTTCAGGTTTCTTTGTTTCTTTATGATTTTTTTCCTTTTTTTTCTGCAGCAGTTTTCTTCGTTTCTTTCTTGGTTTTCAATGATTTTTCTTTTTCCTGTGATTTTCTACGGTTCTTTTCCCATCTTTCATTTGTTTTCCCTTTTTTATTTTATCCTTTATTTTTCTCCATTTCTATTTTTTTGATATTTCTTCATTTCTTTCTCGGCACTGTTTTGACTCTTTTCATTGGTTTTTTTATTATTTCCCCTTGTTTCTATTTCTTTCGTCGGTTACTTTTATTTCAACACATTTTTCTTTATACATCTGAAACAATTTTTGTACACATTGAACCTTTTTCAATACGTGACTAACATTTTTATTTTCAAATATATAAGTTTTTGATATCTATATTTTTTATATATGTTGTACATTTATTGTATACATAAGGAACACCTTGTTACATATGTTTAACATTTTTAAAATAGTCCCTCTGTATTTGGACTATAGAAATGTCTTATATTATTGTACAGAGGTAGCGATAAGCATTTTATCATATATATACTTCATTTTAAAATATAAGTACGTGACTAACATTTTTATTTTCAAATATATAAGGTTTTGATATCTATATTTTTTATATATGTTGTACATTTGTTGTATACATAAGGAACACCTTGTTACATATGTTTATCATTTATCATTTTCTTCACTCTTGGGAGTATGTACTCCCATCTTCAATATACCTTGTATATGCATTGATTATACCCCTTATCATTCTCAATATATTTCATTAAATGTTCTAAGATATCTCAATACAAGTTTTGTTGAAAAAAAATCATTTACGACCTACTTTTTGCAATATACCTTTTTCACGTACAAACAAATTAGTATATACGTAAACCTTTGAAAATATGAGGCACACATGATTTTTTTTCATAAAATCCATTTTAGGGTTTCTAGTAATTATTAATGAAGTATATTAAAAATAATAATAAGCTATAAAAGATTCATATATGTGGTATATGAGGAGCGAGAGTACGTACTCCCAAGAGTACACAACCATTTTTCTATATATATATATATATATATGTGTTACTATTCATCACCCAGGGTGCAAAATAAGTTTTTCTTCACCCGAGGTAATCTTACAATCATTTCATAATTAAATTACGTTTGGAATTCAAATAGTTACATTTCTGTTGATTCACTACTTAAAATTTGACACAAGAAAATAAAAATATAGGTCATAAGACAAGAAAATTTGTAGTTTATGTGTATTTTAGACTATGTTTTTACGTTTGTAATTTTACATAACATAAAATATTTTTTACGGTGATTATATTTTTTTTTACGGTCTATTTTTACGTCGGAAATAAGACAAAACTTACGAAACATAAAATTACGGTGCATTGATGGTAAAATAGAGGGGGGGGTGAAGAATAACTATTCCTCACCCAGGGTGACGAATAGCGCATATATATATATATATATATATATATATATATATATATATATATATATATATATATATATATATATATATATATATAATTCAAATGCATGATTAAAATTTATTAAATATAATAATGTTTTATGTCTACTTTTTTCATACATAATATACACTTTTCGTATACATCAGGGACATTTTTATATAGACATTTTAATTTTTATTGAAAGATGAATTAATATTTTTTTAAAATACATGTCGTTATGCCAACTTATTTTTATACACGTTGTATAGTTCTCGTATACAATAGTAACATTTTATATACATCTTCAAATATTTACAAATGAATGATTAATAGGTTTATGTCTACTTCTAAATACACATTATATATTTTTGTATGCATTTTTAGTGTACATCAGAAACATTTTTCTGTACTCAATTTTTATTTTCAAATGTATGGTTAAATTTTTAAAAATTATTATAGATATATATAGAGAGTATTTGAATGTATAAATGAAAGTACAGAAAGAAAGCAACAAATGAAAAAAAAAGTGTACAAAAAGAGAGTGCCCGATCCAGTCTCACGCCGGCTTCAGGCGAGGCATTCATCTGTCTCGCTATAAGCGAGACGTATTCGCACCCAGCCTCCTAGCTGCAGAAGTCAACACGTTCGACCAGGCAAGAGAGGTCCTAATTGGCTCCTTGAGAGTCTGTTCCCAAATTGGCCCATAACACTCGACCTCGCTAGCACTAGGTCGACCGATGACATGTTGACCAGTTTCATAGACCATTGATTGCTAAACCTCAAACAACTGAATGTTGACTCTTCTAAAGAAGTTTGGGCAATTAAATGTTCTTTGTGGAATTGAAAAATGTCCACGAATTTGAAAAAATCATTAATTTGAAAAAGGTCATGAATTTAAAAAACTTTGTAAACTGGGTGTAATTCTATGCCTTGGTGTTCTTATCATTTTTATCTGAGGGGTGATCAGTGTCCTTATCATGCTTCTTTTTTTTAGGGAAACAACAGGACTCTGCTGCGTATTTTTATTAATTTTGGGAAATAAGGTACAAATAAGGTATCAGTGTCCTTATCATGCTTCTTGTGCTGTAATCTGATGAGTGTAATTCAAAAGGCATAATTCAACTACCAAAGAGGTGTACGCGCTTCAAGAATTGGAGGGAGTTGGGCTTGCAATTAGAGACTGTTTAGAACTTTCAACTAGTTGGTGGCTAGAGTGACATCCACCACTAACTAAGGAACAATTATATAAAGTTAAAAAAAAATACTCCAGCTTTCGCTTTCAGCTACTCGCCCGTCCAGTTGAACATTGCACGGTCCAAATGTAGGTTGCCAAGAAAATTGAACGGCTGCGTATATGCATCTTCTGTGGTGCCAAAAGACATAAGTTGGCCAGGCAGAAAGGCCAAAATATCATAAACTTGCACCCTTTCAAATCTGTTCAAGTAGAAGCCCTCTTTCAGAAACGTTTAGCTGCTACTACGTACCAGGCACCAGCCATAGACATGGTAGACTAGTCCTTTGGAAGAATGTCAAATCGGTTGTTCAGTTAACCTATCATTTCGAATGCATTTATATTAAGAAACGAGGTAGTAGAGCTCGGCCGTTATGACCTGCGTTGGATGATTAGAACGCGCAAGTCAATCTGTGGAAGTTGCAGCCATGTGCACCCACACGACCGTTGGAACCGCGATCTCATACGTTAACACGACAATCATTCTCATTCTCTCCATCATTGCTCACCTCTAAGCTAACTAGATTCCTATTTAAGCACCACCATTGTCACAATCATTCCTCACCTCCAAATTAACCCACTCGATCGCCACAATATCTAGCAAGCTATCTGCTGCGGAGAAGCCCAACCATCTGATCTCCCTAGTACAAAGATGTCAGCTGGGATGCACTTAAGCTTCCTGCAGCTGTTCGCCGTGGTTCTCGTGTTCTGCTTCGCACCCGCCAAGTCCGGCTACTGGCTCCCGGCCCATGCCACGTTCTACGGCGGCGCCGACGGATCTGACACAATGGGTAAGCTATGTAGCCACTCAAGCCTTAACTCCGGCTTGCTCCCACACCATCAAAATATGCCCAATACTATTTATTTACAAAATTTAATAGTCCTGCTATGGTTGTTTGTGACGAGTAAGGTGTTGCTGAATGGTATTCAGTACAAATGTCCCGTAAAATTATGAAATATCCGGCTATTACTGATTTGGAGGATTGTCATTGCCGCTATTGGCATAGCTCGCTATTTAAAATTAGGAAGGTTTATCACCTGGTACGCAATGCAATGAATGTGTGCATGTCTGACAATACTGTGTTTTGCATGTCCAACGTGCAGGTGGCGCGTGTGGGTACGAGAACTTGTACAACGCGGGGTACGGGATCAACAACGCCGCGCTAAGCACGGCACTGTTCAACAACGGCTTGTCGTGCGCACAGTGCTACCTCATCACGTGCGACACTAGCAAGTCAGACATGTGCAAGCCCGGCACGTCCATCACCGTGTCCGCCACCAATTTTTGCCCTCCCAACTAGGCTCTCCCCAGCGACAATGGCGGGTGGTGCAACCCTCCACGTGTCCACTTCGACATGTCCCAACCCGCCTGGGAGAACCTCGCCATCTACCGCGCCGGCATTGTCCCCGTCCTCTACCAGCAGGTCGCGTGCCAGAGGCAGGGCGGCCTGCGCTTCACCATGAACGGCTTCAACTACTTCAAGCTTGTGCTAGTGACCAACATGGCCGGGAGCGGGTCGGTCAAGAGCATGTTGGTGAAGGGAACCAACACGGCATGGATCCCCATGTCCCAGAACTGGGGCGCTAACTGGCAGTGCCTAGCCGGGCTGACAGGACAGGCCCTCAGCTTCGCCATCACCTCCTCCGGCGGCCAGTACAAGGTCTTCCAGGACATGGTACCGGCCTGGTGGCTGTTCGGACAGACCTTCACTACCTGGCAGCAGTTCGACTACTAGCTATAACATTGTGTAATTTGTACTTACTATTATCAGTTTGCTTCGTTCAGATCGAACAAGCATGGAACTGTCCACACGCATATACATTATTCCCTTTTGATTGCTCAGCTTGTTGCCCATCGAGTCAGGGGAGCCAGGGCCAATAGAAGAGATAAAAGGTTGGAGGGGGGCAAATATATAAACGGATAAACCTAAAGCATATTAAGCTAACAATATTGGGGTGTTTGTAGAAAAAGAAATCATGGGGAGAACCATGGTCCATGCTCACCCACCCCTGGCTCCGTCCCTCCATCGAGTGGCAGTAGATTTGAGTTGTAAAATCTGTAATCAACGACCACCATGCCATTATGGACTATTTGGCGTGGAACAATATCGACCCCCTCTATGTCTCCTCCGCCTGGAACAATATATACTAGGAGTGGGCTTGCGCGCTTTGCTGCATCATTTTCTCTCAAGCGTTTCATATTTAAGTTTTTCTTCCATGGTTAAGTTTAAGTTATGTTTGGCCTATCTATGCAAACAATTTAGGATAGGTTATCAATGGTGCAGATAGGGTAAACAAATAAAATTGTACTCCTATAGTTTAGGAAGCAAAACATTTATGATGAAATTACACGTAGTGCCAACAGACTTTAATTATGGCTTGATGAAATATATTCATTTAATCATATTCATTTAACTAGAATTCCCTCCTCACCTCTGCAAGATTTGATCAAGATGTCTGTACGTTTCCACATATCCTCTCTCTTGCAAAAGTTCCAAGCCATAATATAAACAAGTCATATGATGCAAATCTAACCAAAGAAAGAATGTATTGACATAACCCTAAAGCGAAGGTAATTAAAAATTGAATAAGTGGACACAATGAAAGATAAACATATGCCACTAGCGCCTACGAGGACGAAGGAGGACACCAGGAGTGCGCAATAGCTGCGAGCTGGTGGGGGCCTCACACCGACGCCCTTTGGATGCGTTGCCCGCCGGAGGGTAGAAGACATGGAGTGCGGTGGTCGTGGTGAGGATTTACATGCCGATGAAGGAGGACATGGTGGCGGCCGCGGCGATAGTAGTGTAGCGGCCGAGGTAGGTGTCGCTAACATAGGCGCCAAATACGATGGCGAGGGTGCTGGTGCCAGAGAACACGTTGAGGAGCGTGACGGCGTTGATCGTTCGGCATGTGTTATTGTCTTTTTTTCCGTTAGGTACAATAGCATTGTTGGACAAAGTCGCAATCGTCTTAAGCTTCTCGTACGTCTCGTTTCCTGGGATAACAAGTCAATATTCGCTTAGTTTCCCTAGTCTAAAATTAAATCCGAAGAAACTAACAGCGTTAATATTTTATGATTTCAGTTGCCACTTGCTGACACATGCCGAGAAAGAATGGAACTGAAATGGGAACATAACAGCCCCTGTAGCTCAGTGGATAGAACGTCCGTTTCCTAAGCGTAAGGCCGTAGGTTCGACCCCTACCTGGCGCGTTTTTACATTTTTATCTGTACTGTTGCAAAGCTAATTACCTGGCTTCATTTCTTTTTAGCTGATGATGATTGTCTTCTGCCAAAGCTTTCCAACAAAGCTGGGCGTGAGCATCCTCCCTAGAAATTAATGAATTGTTGCGCGTTTTTACATTTTTATCTGTACTGTTGCAAAGCTAATTACCTGGCTTCATTTCTTTTTAGCTGATGATGATTGTCTTCTGCCAAAGCTTTCCAACAAAGCTGGGCGTGAGCATCCTCCCTAGAAATTAATGAATTGTTGTATTTCCTATACTGTTTGAGTGCTAATTGACTGACTATGCACATGCTAGCTTGTCTATAATTTGGCGGACACTAACTTTTCTTTTTTGCTAGAACTGTCGAGATATTGCAAAGAACATCAGAAATAAAAAATATATGAAGATCCGTAGACCATCTAGCGACGACTATAAGCACTGGAGAGAGCCGAAGGCGCACCACCGTCTTAGCCCCTCTCTTATCGGAGCCGGACAAACCTTGTTATAGTAAACATGCAGGAAGTCGTCGTGCTAAGGCCACATAGGTCCAGCGCAACAGAACAACAACTGCCGCCAATAAAGAGAAGCGTACATCAGAAGAATCCAACATGTAAACACACGAACGAAGACATGATCCACGTGGATCCACCAAAGA